AATATCAATTTTCCCGAGATCAATAATAAATGGTGCATATTACTATAAGAAAATTTTATTTTTAAAGATTGTTTTGAAAATATATATATGTGTAGCTGGCGGGCAGTGGCAACAATTGTCGTGTGGGACTGAGTGTGGCACTCGCAAGCTATTCTTTTCTTTTAATTCTGGCGTTCCCGACCAGCCTATGTTCATCCCGTACCCCAGACTATTCCCTCTGCAATAAATGTGGGTGAGCTTAGCCACATTATTATAGTATATATATATATATATATATATATATATATATATATATATATATATATATATATATATATATATATATATATATATATATATATATATATATATATGTGTGTGTGTGTGTGTGTGTTTGTGTGTACTCACCTAGTTGTGTTTGCGGCGGTTGAGCTCTGGTTCTTTGGTCCCGCCTCTCAACCGTCAATCAACAAGTGTACAGATTCCTGAGCCTATTGGGCTCTATCATATCTACACTTGAAGCTGTGTATGGAGTCAGCCTCCACCACATCACCCCCTAATGCATTCCATTTGTCAACCACTCTCACACTAAAAAAGTTCTTTCTAATATCTCTGTGGCTCATTTGGGCACTCAGTTTCCACCTGTGTCCCCTTGTGTGTGTGCCCTTGTGTTAAATAGACTGTCTTTATCTACCCTATCAATTCCCTTCAGAATCTTGAATGTGGTGGTCATGTCCCCCCTAACTCTTCTGTCTTCCAGCGAAGTGAGGTTTAATTCCCGTAGTCTCTCCTCGTAGCTCATACCTCTCAGCTCGGGTACTAGTCTGGTGGCAAACCTTTGAACCTTTTCCAGTTTAGTCTTATCCTTGACTAGATATGGACTCCATCCTGGGGCTGCATACTCCAGGATTGGCCTGACAAATGTGGTATACAATGTTCTGAATGATTCTTTACACAAGTTTCTGAATGCTGTTCGTATGTTGGCCAGCCTGGCATATGCCGCTGATGTTATCCTCTTGATATGTGCTGCACAAGACAGGTCTGGCGTGATATCAACCCCCAAGTCTTTTTCCTCCTCTGACTCCTGAAGAATTTCCTCTCCCAGATGATGCCTTGTATCTGGCCTCCTGCTCCCTACACCTATCTTCATTACATTACATTTGGTTGGGTTAAATTCTAACAACCATTTGTTCGACCATTCCTTCAGCTTGTCTAGGTCTTCTTGAAGCCTCAAACAGTCCTCTTCTGTTTTAATCCTTCTCATAGTTTTAGCATCGTCCGCAAACATTGACGGAAATGAATCGATACCCTCTGGGAGATCATTTACATATATCAGAAACAAGATAGGACCGAGTACAGAGCCCTGTGGGACTCCACTGGTGACTTCACGCCAATCGAAGGTCTGACCCCTCACCGTAACTCTCTGTTTCCTATTGCTTAGGTACTCCCTTATCCACTGGAGCACCTTACCAGCTACACCTGCCTGTCTCTCCAGCTTATGTACCAGCCTCTTATGCGGTACTGTGTCAAAGGCTTTCCGACAATCCAAGAAAATGCAGTCCGTCCAGCCTTCTTTTTCTTGCTTAATCTTTGTCACCTGATCGTAGAATTCTATCAAGGCTGTAAAGCAAGATTTACCCTCCCTGAACCCATGTTGGCGATTTGTCACGAAATCCCTTCTCTCCAGATGTGTTACCAAGTTTTTTCTCACGATCTTCTCCATCACCTTGCATGGTATACAAGTCAAGGACACTGGCCTGTAGTTCAGTGCCTCTTGCCTGTCTCCCTTTTTGTATATTGGGATCACATTCGCCATCTTCCATATTTCTGGTAGGTCTCCCGTCTCCAGTGACTTACTATACACTATGGAGAGTGGCAAGCAAAGTGCCTCTGTACACTCTTTCAGTATCCATGGTGAGATCCCGTCTGGACCAACAGCCTTTCTAACATCCAGATCCAGCAGGTGTCTCTTGACCTCCTCTCTCGTAATTTCGAGCTCTTCCAAGGCCTCCTGGTTTACATCCCTTTCTCCTAGCACAGTGACCTCACCTTGTTCTATTGTGAAGACCTCCTGGAACCTCTTGTTGAGTTCTTCAAACACCTCTTTGTCATTCTCTGTATATCTGTCCTCGCCTGTTCTAAGTTTCAATACCTGTTCTTTCACTGTTGTTTTCCTATAGATGTGACTGTGGAGTAGCTTTGGTTCGGTCTTGGCTTTGTTTGCTATATCATTTTCTAAACTTTTCTCTGCTTCTCTTCTCACCCTGACGTACTCATTCCTGGTTCTCTGGTATCTCTCTCTGCTTTCTGGTGTTCTGTTATTCCGGAAGTTCCTCCACGCCCTTTTGTTCAGTTTCTTCGCTTCCATACATGCCCTATTATACCATGGATTCTTCTGTTGCTTCTCGGATTTTTCCCTTTGGACCGGGATGAACCTGAACCATAGGTATGGGTGTGTGTGTGTGTGTAATTACCTAAGTGTAGTTACAGGATGAGAGCTACGCTCGTGGTGTCCCGTCTTCCCAGCACTCTTTGTCATATAACGTTTTGAAACTACTGACGGTCTTGGCCTCCACCACCTTCTCCCCTAACTTGTTCCAACCGTCTACCACTCTGTTTGCGAAAGTGAATTTTCTTATATTTCTTCGGCATCTGTGTTTAGCTAGTTTATATTATGACCTCTTGTTCTTGAAGTTCCAGGTGTCAGGAAATCTTCCCTATCGATTTTATCAATTCCTGTTACTATTTTGTATGTAGTGATCATATCACCTCTTTTTCTTGTCTTCTAGTTTTGGCATATTTAATGCCTCTAACCTCTCCTCGTAGCTCTTGCCCTTCAGTTCTGGGAGCCACTTAGTAGCATGTCTTTGCACCTTTTCCAGTTTGTTGATGTGCTTCTTAAGATATGGGCACCACACAACAGCTGCATATTCTAGCTTTGGCCTAACAAAAGTCGTGAACAATTTCTTTAGTATATCGCCATCCATGTATTTAAAAGCAATTCTGAAGTTAGAAAGCATCGCATAGGCTCCTCGCACAATATTCTTTATGTGGTCCTCAGGTGATAGTTTTCTATCTAGAACCACCCCTAGATCTCTTTCTTTATCAGAATTCTTTAAAGATTTCTCACATAATATATAGGTTGTGTGGGGGATCTATGTTCTCCTATTCCACATTCCATAACATGACATTTATTAACATTAAATTCCATTTTTTTTGAGATATATACAAGTGTTGTTACATTCTTGTACAGCCACTAGTACGCGTAGCGTTTCGGGCAGGTCCCTGGAATACGATCCCCGCCGCGAAGAATCGTTTTTTCATCCAAGTACACATTTTACTGTTGAGTTAAACAGAGGCTACAGTTAAGGAATTGCGCCCAGTAAATCCTCCCCGGCCAGGATACGAACCCATGACATAGCGCTCGCGGAACGCCAGGCGAGTGTCTTACCACTACACCACGGAGACTGTTTAATTTGCCAAGTGTTGCTCCATATACTTATTTTGTCCAGGTCTTCTTGAAGGGCATGACAATCATCGAAGTTTCTTATCCTTCCTATTATCTTAGCATCATCAGCAAACATGTTCATATAATTCCGTATACCAACTGGTAGATCATTTATGTAGACAATAAACATCACTGGTGCAAGAACTGAACCCTGTGGTACTCCACTTGTGACATTTCTCCAGTCCGATACATTGCCTCTGATCACAGCCCTCATTTTTCTATCAGTCAGAAAATTTTTCATCCATGTTAGAAGCGTACCTGTCACTCCTCCAATATTTTCCAGTTTCCAGAACAACCTTTTATGTGGAACTCTGTAGAAAGCCTTTTTTAGGTCCAGATAGATGCAGTCAACCCAACCATCTCCTTCCTGTAATATCTCTGTTGCTCTGTTGTTGTTGGTGTGTGTGTGTATGTGTGTGTGTGTGTGTGTGTGTGTGTGTGTGTGTGTGTGTTTACTAGTTGTGTTTTTACGGGGGTTGAGCTTTGCTCTTTCGGCCCGCCTCTCAACTGTCAATCAACTGTTTACTAACTACTTTTTTTTTTCCACACCACACACACACACACACACACCCCAGGAAGCAGCCCGTGACAGCTGACTAACACCCAGGTACCTATTTACTGCTAGGTAACAGGGGCATTCAGGGTGAAAGAAACTTTGCCCATTTGTTTCTGCCTCGTGCGGGAATCGAACCCGCGCCACAGAATTACGAATCCTGCGCGCTATCCACCAGGCTATGAGGCCCCATGTGTGTGTGTGTGTGTGTGTGTGTGTGTGTGTGTGTGTGTGTGTGTGTGTGTACAAGTGTGGGTGGTTGGTAGGGACACTAGCGGGGTGTGGTGCGCAAGTTGTGTGTCGTGAACCATGGTGTGTGTGTGTGGCTGTAGCGACGTCTTACTCCATCTGCTGTCTTGGTAAACGTTAACGACACACGCGGTAGTTAAAAATAGAAATATACAAATGTAAAGAGAGTGACACGAACCTGCATTCAGGTGAGTCTCAGACACCTGTCCTAACCGACCAGACCACGGAACGATCAACCTGGAACTCTACTGAATTCACTAGGAGGTTCTAGAGGCCCCGAACCAGAGCCCAAGCAGGGTTTAGGGTCTCAAAAATCGCCCAGTAAATTCCGTAGAGTTCAGGGAAGGTCGACTTTTGTCCTATCGTGGCCGAGGAGGTTAGGGCAGGTAACTGGGAATCGTCAGAACGCTACCTGGTTGATACCTGGTTGATGGGGTTCTGGGAGTTCTTCTACTCCCCAAGCCCGGCCCGAGGCCAGGCTTGACTTGTGAGAGTTTGGTCCACCAGGCTGTTGCTTGGAGCGGCCCGCAGGCCCACATACCCACCACAGCCCGGTTGGTCCGGCACTCCTTGGAGGAATAAATCTAGTTTCCTCTTGAAAATGTCCACGCTGGTTCGAGTCGCTCCATTGCCTCAAAATGATTGCCTCATATGTGTTTGTTTTGACTGAAAACACGACCATATTAAATAATTGTCTTGAATGTTACTCAGGTGGTGAGTTCCTGCAGTGTGACTGCAGAGTGTCGTGGGTGTCACAGTGGATGAACAAGAGCCACTTGCGAGTAACTTCCCGGGGAGTCAACCCTCAGTATTGTGGCCGCCCTCCTGAGTACCGCAACCTCTCCCTCCACCACTTGAGTTACAAGGACTTCTACTGCAACACCACCTTGGCTCTCCCCACCACCTCCACACCTGTCCTTCCCATTACCTTCCCCCCTACAACACCATCCTTGTCCCGCCCCCTTGTCACCACAACCCTGCCACCGACCACCGTACAACCACAGGTCAGTAAATGACGTTTTCCATGACCAACCTACTACTATTCCTGGTACAATCACTACTAGTTTAAATTTTATTTATCATATATATATATTAATGTATTTTGGTAGCAATCTTTCGTGTAAACATATGTTGTTGAATATGACCGAAAGGGTAAGATTAATAATTCTAACACGAATCTTCTCAATATTTCTTAAGTTCTTCTTAACTGTCGAGGGTAATTGATAAATTAACTCTCCAAAATTCATTTTTTATTTCTGGTATGACGTCTGAACGCGTTTTGTAATGCTTATTACATTTCCAAAGACGTAGTTTACATATAAAATACATCATAATTATACTCGTTTTGGGTGAGGTGATATGGCACAAAAGTTTTGGGTAAAGTGACAAAGCATATGCCAGAACACGAAACAATGGGTATACAATGGGTATGAAAACATATGAATGGAAGTAACTGCAGAAGGCCTATTGGCCCATACTTCCTCTAGCTACTCCGATGTTGGTTCGGGGTCTTGAAGTGGGTACAATATAGTTGTGCATTAATTGGCTGTTGATTGCTGTCGTTGACTTTTTGATGTGATGTCGTTGTTGATGTCGTCGTTGATGTCGATGTCTCCTGCGATTGCGGTATTTATCTATGATATCTGTGTTGCTTGTTAAGATTTCTCTGGAGATGGTCTGGTTATGAGAAGAGATTATATGTTCCTTGATGGAGCCCTGTTGTTTGTGCATAGTTAATCGCCTAAAAAAGAGACGTTGTCTTGCCTATATACTATGTTCTTTGGGGCTTTCAGTCCCCAAGGAGGCATGTGAAGTCATAGACGACGTTCGTTTCCTTCAGGCGTTCTGTTTGGTGTCTGGGGTGTTTTCATGAGTAGGTTGGCCGTTTTTTTTGTAGTAAATTGTCAATTGTATTTTCTGATTTTTTCTCTGTAGGGATACCTTTCTTATCAGTATTGTCTTTCAGGACCGTTTCCTCCGTTTTATGATCCGTCAAAAAAGAAGTTCCTGTAAAACAGTGTAATAGGGGGTACAAGTGTTGTGTTAGTTGACTCTTCGGAGGTTGTATGGCATTTCACCTCTCTATTTATGACGTCTTCAACTGCTCTAAACCGTTAGAGAAGCCAGTGTTGACTAGGACCTGCCTTACCCTACACAGTTCTTCATCGACTTGCTTCCATTCTGAGCTGTGGCTGAGAGCCCGTCCGTCATAAGCGTTGACAACACTCCTCTTGTACTTGTCTAGGTAGTTTATAAATATATATATAAATATAAATGGAAATGTTCGTTTGTTCAAAATCGATAATCACTGAAAGTTCTTCAGCGATTGCTTTGAAATTTTCACACAATGTTCCATTCGCATCCGAGCGAGTTTTTATATATTTAATATATAGATGTCACAATCTGTAACGGGAAAAAACATGCTTTTTTTTTAAAAAAAACTGTGTTTTTCATTTGAGGGAAATCGTCGAAAACTCTTTACCGATTGCTTTGAAAATTTGACACAACTTAGCATTCGAATAGAGGTGTGTTTTTATATACCTACTATATACATGCCTCACCTATAACAGGAAAAGCATGCGTTTTTTTTAAAACAGTGCCATCTGTAGGACGTAAGAGCAACACATGCTGTAATCTCTGAAAGTTATTCTCCGATTGCTTTGAAATTTTGACACAATGTTCCATTCGAATACGTGCATGTTTATATACCTAATATTTAGATGCCACACCTGTGACAGGTAAAAATGTGTTTTTTTTTTTTTAAATAGTGCCATCTGTTGCACGTAAGTACAACATACGCTATTCAAAATATGTTACGATTTCATTTCAATGTTTCCGATTGCATTAATTAATTGATTTTTCATAGATTTTGATTTATTTTCATTTCGATTTATTTTGTGTGACCTTGCGTTGGAATTGAGCTGCGTTGTTTACCATAGTGTTCATTTCGTGAGTATAGTTTATTTGTTTCTTTTTTCATTTTTTTCATTTCGGTTTTTTAACTGTTCTTCTTATTTTTCAGTGCAATTGGTGGTGAAATTGAGCTGTGTCGATTGATCTGTGTTTGGATTGAAATATTTCGTTAGTATAACTTGGTTTTGTTTTGAAAACAAGAAAACGGTAAACACGTTTATTTCACAGCTGCAAATTTGCAACAAACTGCTATGAATCCACCGGCTACAATGCTAACTGCTTTCTTCACGTTATGCCAAAATGACAAGTTTGGAAAAACACTTATGTATTCGGAAGTGCCTACGTATTACACGTGGAATGTCAGTAGAAAATCATTTGAATAACGCAAACGAGGAGAGCGAGTCGACGGACAACTTGGCATATTCAAATAAACTACGATAGGCAGACATCCACCGTGCATCCCAATCAAGGTGAATGCTTCTTTCTTCACATGCCGTTGGTAAATGTGTCTGGATCAAGATCTTCCAGCAATTGAGATTTGTCAACGGCGTTACACATGCCACTTTCCGTAGTGAATGTCAAGCTCTGAATTAATTGGAGAACGACTGACATTGGGATGTATGCATTAATGACGCGTCCAACACGTCACATCCAAATCAAATTCATGCATTCGCACACGGCTGAAGATATTATCCTTCGAATACACAAGGAAAATTCAAATATGAACATGGATTTCACAGCAGAAATCTACATCGAAGCGTTGATAATGATTGAAGATTTGTGCTTAGAAATCGCGAACGAAGTTCTCTATCAATTGGAAATGCCATCACCGAATCGATGTGCTGCTTCGTTCGATGTAGAATTGCGTCGTGAACAAAGTTACAACACGGGTGATCTGTTGTCGTATGTGCAATCAAATATTCCTAATCTAACGCTTGAGCGAAAAGCCAATTACAATCAAATAATTCTAACTGTCAGTAACGGGCTTGGAGAAATCTTAGATGCGCCAGGAAGAACTGGTAAAATCTTCCTAATTAGATTGATTCTGGCAGCATTTCGATCCCAAAATGGCATAACCTTAGCTCTTGCATCGTCCGGAAAAATTGCAACATTGCTACCAGGTGGAAGAACTGCAACCTCGACTTTGAAATTGCCATTGAACATGCAATTCATTAAAACTCCCACGTGCAACATTTCCAAAGCATCCGGCACACGAACTTAACAATATTATTCAGTCTAACATTCAAAGCGAGGCAGTCACATACAAGTCCGTCAATACCGTTGAGAAAGCAGATGAAGCGGTTAATTATCCAACAGAATTTTTTAATCTCTCGATCTGCGAGGGATACCATCACACGTATGACAGTTGAAAATCGGCTTGCCAATTATCATGTTGCGAAATATCAACCAGCCAAAACTTTGACACGCCACGCGGCTTGCAATAAAAAAATTTCAAAGGTGAAGATGTCCTTATTCCTCGCATCTCTATGATTCCACCAGATATGCCATTTCAATTTAAGATATTGTAATTCCCAATTCAATTGGAGTTTGCAATCACCATCAACAAAGCTCAAGACCAATCTTTAGAATTGTGCAGTTTACATCAAGACACGGATTGTTTCTCACATGGACAATTATATTTTGCGTGTTATAGAGTCGGCAAACCAGACAATATCTATATCTCCACAAACAATTGCAAAACAAAAAATATTGTATACCCACAAGCATTTTAAAATTAAACATATTTGAAACGTGGGCTTTCTCTTTTCTTTCTTTCTTATATATATATATATATATATATATATATATATATATATATATATATATATATATATATATATATATATATATATATATATATGTATGGGTTATATGAGTTTTCAGATATATATATATATATATATATATATATATATAAATATATATATATATATATATATATATATATATTATATATATATATATATATATATATATATATATATTATATATATATATATATATATATGCAAACAAGCCTGAATGGTCCCCAGGACTATATACAACTGAAAACTCACACCCCAGCAGTGACTCGAACCCATACTGCCAGGAGCAACGCAACTGGTATGTACAGGGACGCCTTAATCCGCTTGACCATCACGACCGGACATAAGGAAGTGATAGCCGAAGCTATTTGAACCACTTCCCCGCTGGCACTCGGATGGTAATCTTGGGCATATCTTGATAAATCAATCAATCTATAAATCAATAAATCAATCTATAAATATTATCAAAATTGATAAATCTATCAATCTTGATAAAATGCTATGCCCAAGATTACCATCCGAGTGCCGGCGGGGAAGTGGTTCAAATAGCTTCGGCTATCACTTCCTTATGTCCGGTCGTGATGGTCAAGCGGATTAAGGCGTCCCTGTACATACCAGTTGCGTTGCTCCTGGCAGTATGGGTTCGAGTCACTTCTGGGGTGTGAGTTTTCAGTTGTATATAGTCCTGGGGACCATTCAGGCTTGTTTGCATTTGTGTTCCTCACGTGTGCCCCAAAGAATGAGGTGATTTGATAAAATGCTATGCCCAAGATTACCATCCGAGTGCCGGCGGGGAAGTGGTTCAAATAGCTTCGGCTATCACTTCCTTATGTCCGGTCGTGATGGTCAAGCGGATTAAGGCGTCCCTGTACATACCAGTTGCGTATGGGTTCGAGTCACTTCTGGTGTGTGAGTTTTCAGTTATATATATAATATATATATATATATATATATATATATATATATATATATATATATATATATATATATATATATATATGTCGTACCTAGTAGCCAGAACGCACTTCTCTGCCTACTATGCAAGGCCCGATTTGCCTAATAAGCCAAGTTTTCATGAATTAATTGTTTTTCGTCTACCTAACCTACCTAACCTAACCTAACCTAACTTTTTCGGCTACCTAACCTAACCTAACCTATAAAGATAGGTTAGGTTAGGTTAGGTAGGGTTGGTTAGGTTCGGTCATATATCTACGTTAATTTTAACTCCAATAAAAAAATTGACCTCATACATTATGAAATGGGTAGCTTTATCATTTCATAAGAAA